GTTTGCCATCAATGGCTGTGGAACCCGTGGACGAACTGTCAAATGAAGAATGGTCTGTGAAGGAACTGAACAGTTTTCTGCTGAATGAGAGTGCGTATCTGTCTGGAAAAAGAAGGAGTTGTTGGAGAGGTAAGTTTTTCGCATTCAGTGGATATTTCGGATTACTGTAGATTGAAATTTATTTTTCTTTTCTCTCCCTTCTCTCCCCTGTCGATGTAGAGAATACTTCTCTATGCAGAACCCTGATGCACCTAGAACTAAGAAGGGCACCACTTCCTCGAGTGTACCCTCATCATGCCCAACATTTCATGCGTCCCAGTGGATGAGTGATGAACCTCTGTTTCCCAGAGTGAGTGCCACAGAATGCTTGCTTGTCTCCAACGCAGGGGCAAGTCGCCGACGACAGTGAAGAGGGAGCTGATGGAGTAGTACAAGTGAACAGGCCCGTGGATAGTGTCCATGAGTTTTACTTTGGTGGCTATGTGCATAATGTGAAAGTCTGTCATATCGTGCACACAGCCACAGCTCGAACTCAGATGACTTTCTCCGCACACCTGAACGATGAGGCTGCGTCTCTCTCCACTTCAACATCAACAGCTCGAGCAGCGCCAGCAAGCCGTCGATCTTCCAATAGCGAAGACAGGGATGGGTCATGCCTTTTTCTCAAGCTCCAGAGTCTCTTGGCAGGGCGTTCCATATCTTCGCAAAAGCAAGGTCGGGTGAAAGTCGTCATGGATAAAGTGTTCCGAGCACAACACTGGGAACGATATCGCAGCACTGCGGCCCTCTTCTCGCCAGATAGCCAGGATTCTAGAGTGTGGAATACCAGCATCACCAGGGAACGCATGGAAAGACAAGTGGGTTCCTTAGACTAACGTTAGGGATGACGGTTGCTGCAAACAAGAACCCAACAGTGGTCCTTGGAAAGCGTTTCGGAACTTCTTCCTTCAGAACTAAAAAAACTAACTTCAAATGAAAAAAGGCTGCGGAGTACATACATGAACATCGCGTCGGGACCGTGAAAACACAGCCTGTCACAGGAAACTTGATCACGTCCTGCAGCAAACCACGCATGCTGGTTGCATGCAAAGTGTGCAGCGCGTGCACAGCATGCCCCGTCTCGACCCCTCTCGCTTATTGTGCAAAGGGTCTATTGTGAAAATCTGTTGAATTTGGGCAAGAAGCCAAACAAGAATGTGAAATTGAGTTGTTGTGCCGTTCCGAGGCACGGTGGAGTAATTCGGAGAGGAACTGGATGTGGCCCTGATGTGTCTATGGAGCTGAGAGCTGCCAGGATGGATTCGCTTGGTCCTGATCTTTCCAACGAGCCCAGGACGAGGAAAATCCATCAAGGTTGAGTAAAATCAGAATAAATTTCGTTCGGAGCTGTGAGTGCATACTCCACCAAGACTGGCAAGAGAGTCAGTGCGCTGTACGGCCAGTGGATTGGAGAAAAGGGGCTCAGCATGCAAAGGGTTAAATAACAAGCTAGGATTCAAAGATGACCAAGCTAGGATCTGGCGATCATGCTTCACACCGGTGGCACTCGCTTCTCCTTGAAGTATTCTAGATGTCATCCAGTGTAGACTTTCTGAGCCTAGCGCCTGTCAAGTACACTGTACAGTGCTGGGCAAAGAGAAATCCAACCTCATGAATATAATAGCGTTGCTGGGCACTACACTACACTACACTACACTACACTACACTACACTACACTGCCCTAACACTACACATACTGGTCTGTGCACTACACTGCCCTAACACTACACATACTGGTCTGTGCACTACACTGCCCTAACACTACACATACTGGTCTGTGCACTACACTGCCCTAACACTACACATACTGGTCTGTGCACTACACTGCCCTAACACTACACATACTGGTCTGTGCACTACACTGCCCTAACACTACACATACTTGTCTGTACACTACACTGCCCTTACACTACACATACTGGTCTGTGCACTACACTGCCCTAACACTACACGTACTGGTCTGTGCACTACACTGCACAACACTGCCCTAACACTACCCATACTGGTCTGTGCACTACACTGCCCTAACACTACACATGCTGGTCTGTGCCCTACACTGCCCTAACACTACACATACTGGTCTCTGTACTACACTGCCCTAACCCAACACATACTGGTCTGTGCACTACACTGCCCTTGCACTACACATACTGGTCTGTGCACTACACTGCCCTAACACTACACATACTGGTCTGTGCACTACACTGCCCTAACACTACACATACTGGTCTGTGCACTACACTGCCCTTACACTACACATACTGGTCTGTGCACTACACTGCCCTAACACTACACATACTGGTCTGTGCACTACACTGCCCTAACACTACACATACTGGTCTGTACACTACACTGCCCTAACACTACACATACTGGTCTGTGCACTACACTGCCCTAAGGCCGCGGTCACACCAAGCGCGATTCAGCCATTCAGCGGAAAAAAGCGCTTTTTGACGTCATCGTCGCTACGGAAACGGCTGAATTTTCGGCTTCAGCCTTTTTCAGCAGTCAGCCGTTTTCAAAGCGCTGAATGGGAGCGCTGAATGGATTCAGCCACTTTCAGCCATTCTGGCGCAGTACAGTGGCGGGAAAAATAAACTCGTTCAAAGCGCATCTTGGCAACTTCTTGGCATGATCTTGCAGCTTGCATCGTGTTCTGCCACCTTCCGGCTTTCGTTGTTGGTGAAACTTCTCTCCTTGCCTTTTTGTCGGTCATCATGGAATCCTGGACAGTAGCACTGGAGCGGCGACTACTGGAGCTTTGGTTTGAAACAAAAACCAAGTATGAGACCACTATGAAAAAAATACCAGAAAGAGAGCGTGGATCTTGGTTGGTTGGTTGGTTTTTATTTCACTTCGCACATTCAAACGGGATGACGACCCAATAAAATGACGGCGAAGGCTTAGCCTAGAAGTGGCTATGGAAGAACATAGTAAAAGCTATGGAAGCACATAGTAAGAGAATAGGATACTAATAACTGCGCTCTTGGACAAACTGAAGAAGTGTGCTGGAGAAGGCGGACGGGAAAACAAGAGAAAATCAAATTCAAAAATGAGCGGGAAGAAAAAAAACTCTAGCACACAAAAAAGTCCAGCCGATTTCGCGAAGTGGTGTGACCAACCACCCCATTCAGCACAAGCCACTTTCAGCGCAAGCGGGAAACGGCTTGTTTGGTGTGACCGCGGCCTAACACTACACATACTGGTCTGTGCACTACACTGCACAACACTGCCCTAACACTACACATACTGGTCTGTGCACTACACTGCCCTAACACTACACATACTGGTCTGTGCACTACACTGCCCTTGCACTACACATACTGGTCTGTGCACTACACTGCCCTAACACTACACATAC